GCTTCGAGGGCCGGGGAGCGGCAGCGATGCCGTGTCATTCATCATAACATATTAGGTATCCCACTAATGACAGGATACGCGACGCTACAGTTGAGCGGCATGTCCGAACGGCAACTCGTCCATATTAGGAAGCCGTCATTAGGGGGCAGTCGTTGAAACTACCTTACGTGCTTAGTATGTTTGGGTTGAAGCTCGAATATATAGTAGGGTGCCAACAGCTCTAACGAAGCCACAGCCGCGAAAGATTCACAAGGGGCGGGGTCCGCGGCGCGATGCGCCTGACTACACACACTCTTTCTCGGGACTAACACTGGGCACGTAGGTCGACGCTTCCGGCGCAAATCTGCTGCGAGCACGTAGTGCAGGGCCATACTTGACGAGAAGGAAGGGGATAGGCACCAGGAGCATAGCGAAGCAACCCAAGAGCAGCGACGCCCATCTCGGGTTTAGGCTGGAGTACATCTGATGTCCGAACAACTAGGCAGAGAGCAAACTCGGGTCAGTACGAGTTCAATGGATAGTGTTTAATGCGCGACATACCGGGAAGACTGCCGCAAAGATAGAGCGCACGACGGTATTGGCAGCCAACGCGCTGGCCGCGTAGAGCTTGTACATGTCCACGATGTAGTTGATGAACGACAGGGAGATCAACAGATTGCCGACGCCGATCAAGACACCAGACACCAGCGGCACCCAGAAGTTGATGCTAGGATACGACGTGAAGCCGAAGATGAAGAAGAATGCGGCGAATATGGGGCCAGCAATCAACGACATCTCGAGCCGCTTTTCGGGTGGCACGGGCGCTGGCGAGAGCTCTTGGGCGGCGCGAGAGTAGCGAGGGTTGTAGTATGTCAGGTAGACCACACAACCGATGATCCCGCCAACAGGGATGGGCAGATACATCATGCCGGAGACACCGGAGTTGAGACCGTGCCCTTGCTGCGACATTGTGTGAGTTGTGGGGAAATCAGCTAGTGGTGCAAGGCGCGCACCGTAAAGACTATTGGGTAAGACGAGAAGACGAGGTATACGTTTCCAAAGATGAACTGTAGAATCAGGGTCAGTAGGGTACTCACAAGCGCGCTATGAAGACCACACGACGTACGCTCATATATGCAGTGATTGCGATTAGAACGGGCTCCTGAAACAAGATCTTGAAGGGCGTGCCCAGAACTCTGCCAATGCGTTGCTGTAGCGGGGCCTTCTGGACTTCAAGTTTGGCACAGTAGCGAACGTCGCCAGTCTCTTGGAGTTTGAGCTGGGCCTTCTTTTTCAGAATGACTGGCGCATATGTTTCCGGCAGCGTGCAGACAGATAACAACAAGCAAATTAAGGCAAAGATTGCCGCAATCCAGAACGTCCAGCGCCAAGAGACGCCGGCATATGCCAGCCATCCTGATACCAGTGGCCCGAGACTAGGCCCCGCGAATGGGGCTATAGCAAATATCGTCATCCCTTTCGCGCGGGTTGCACCGTCCCAGATGTCTCCAACGAGGGCGCCTGAGTTGGAGAAGGGTGCGGCGGCAAAGATGCCAGAGAGCAAGCGGAAGATTATGATGCTCGCCGTGTTGCGACTGAGCGCACAGCCTACGGAGAAGCCGGTGTAGAAGGTGAACGAGATGATGAAGACTGGTCGCCGCCCGAGCTCTTCGCTCAACGGTCCCCAGAGGATCGGTCCAACGACGTAGCTGAACAGTGGTTTTAGCTTTAAGCATAAAGAAGGAGAGGGAATTAGAAGTTCGTACCCAGCAACAAACATGGAGATCGTGAGCGCCCCGACTTCTTGTCCAAAACCAAACTCCTCCATTATCTGTGGTACGCTCCCCGACGGCACAGAACTCGCGAAGGTACTGACAGAAGACAGTAAGACCAATCGTAGTAGTTTCCGCTGAGAAGATAGACTCACGCATTGAGAACCAGGATACCGCCCAGGAGCGTCAAGTACCAACGTTTCACTCGCGACCAGTTATGCGGGTTTGCCGGATCTCCCACCTCAAATTCGACCAAGTACGGGTCTGCTTCAACGACCACGTGCGCAGGCGAGATGGAGGATGGGCTCTTTGATGGTGTTTCCTCATAGGCGGCTGAGTTGTAACGACCGGCTAGACCGACAGAATGGGCAGCTCGCGATCGTTCCATGACTCGGAGAAGTGCTGGTGTGAGCCGAGGCAGAGCGATATCGACGGCGAGCAGACATATTGCTCATCATATATAGTAGCCGAGTACACATCCATAGTTTCTGGTTGCGGGAGGTCTTCCGTAGGGAGAGGTGGCGACGTGCACCGTTGTGGCGCGTTAAGGTGAAAGTTCCGTTGAACCTGGCCGGCTGCAGCGCCGTGACCGCGAGGGTCAGTCTCACGCGTTTTCTAAGCAAGCACGGGACTGAATACGTCTATTACGAGGACGTGAGGTGGTACATGTACTACCGAGGTTGCGTATATTTGGCTTCTCGACGCGTATCGAGCCGAGTCCGAAAGTTGTACGTGGTGAGAGAGTGAGGATAGGGGAGGATGAGCGCTCGCCGGCTGCTGATCGCTAGGGTTAGGGTTAGCGCGCGTTGGCGTACGACGACGACCCGAGGCTACAACGAAAGTTGTGATGTAATATGAAGCAACTAGGAATATAGAGTACGCGTAAGTTTAAGGTCGTGTAATGAATGTTTGGTGCAGATTCCTGTAGGAGATAAGCTTCTTCATACGCCCTGCTTCTCCTCGGGGCTATCCTTTGGGATACCGATGGGGAGCGTGGGAGCGAACTTGCTCCGAGCACGTAGCGCAGGACCGTACTTGACAAGTAGGAAGGGTATGGGTGCCATAACAGCCGCGAAGCAGCCTAGGAGTAGCGAGGCCCATCTCGGGTTTAATGCTAGGATAGCCGATAAGCACAATGAGTACAGCGGACGTATATAGAGTATAATCTCTTACCCGTGAACATCTGGGATGCAAACAGCGGGAATGAAGCACCGAAGATGGAGCGAACGACGGTATTGGCTGCGAGAGCGCTGGCTGCAGCCATCAAGTACATGTCGATGATGTAATTGATTGAGGAGAGGAAGATCAACAGGATGCTGAACCCCAGGAGGCCTCCGGCCATCATGGGACTCCAAAAACTGACGTCCGGGTATGATGTGAAGCCAAACCAGAAGAATGAAACCGCAAAGAGAGGTCCGCCAAGCATTGCCGCTTCGAGTCGCTTCTCCGGAGGGACAGGCGCAGGGGCGTACTCCCTTGCGAACTTCGCGTAACGCGGATTGAAGATGGCCAGATACAATATGCAACCGACCACGCCACCGAGCGATATAGGAAGGAACATCAAGGCGGATATGCCCTGATTGAAGCCGTGGCCCTCCTATCAGACTGCGTGAGCATCATCGTTTAACGACCGAGAGCGGAAGTATGAGGCTCACGGTGAAGACAATAGGGTAAGCTTCGAAGAGGAGATATATGGTTCCAAACAAGAACTGTAGGTGGTGATCAGCCTGAGCAACTTCAGCGTCTCGCTTTCCAAACTCACGCTCATGTAGAGTGTTAGTGCGATCAAGACAGGTTCTTGGAACAAAATCTTGAAGGGCATGGCCAGAATATGATTGATGCGTTGATTGATGGGTTCTTTGTGGGTCTCCAGCGGAGCGTAGTACTTGTCATCCCCCGTTTCTTTGCGAAGACGCTGAGCTTTCTTCTTGAGAAGCACGGGCGGGTACGTCTCTGGTAGAGTGAGGGTGGCTGCAATCAGGCAACACCCCGCGAAGATTGTCAAGACCCAGTATAGCCAGCGCCATGAGACACCTGCAACGGCTATCCAGCCCGAGACCAGAGGACCAAGCGCGGGGCCGGCGAATGGCTGAGGACATGATGAGGAACGAAACAGAGGACTGGACTGTCAAAGACTCACGGCGACAGCGAAAAAGGTCAACGCTTGCCCTCGAGCTTCGCTCTTCCAGAGATCGGTAACGACTCCACCGGAGTTGGTTAACGGTGCAGCGGCGAATATACCGGAGAGCAGACGGAAGATGATGATGCTCGCCGTATTCCGGCTGAGCGCGCAGCCGACCTGGAAGCCTGTGTAGAAGGTGAAGGCAATGATAAAGACGGGGCGTCGTCCGATTTCCTCGCTCAAAGGTCCCCATAATATCGGACCCAAGCAATACCTAGCTCGGCGTCAGAATGTATAGATGATGAAATCACAAGCGAGAGACGTACCCCGCCACAAAGATTGAGATGGTGAGGGCGCCAACCTCCTGTCCGAACCCGAACTGCTCCATCATCTGAGGAACAATACCCGACGGTGCAGCGCTTGCGAATGTCCTAAAGCCATGGTCAGTTTCGGAGCGAATCGCGGACGCAGAATGACGTACGCGTTCAGAACAAGAATCGCGCTCAAAGCCGTCAAGTACCAACGCTTGGTCTTTGGCCAGGTTTGCGCGTCTGCAGAATCGTTCGGCTCGAAGTCGACCAAGTATGGGTTCTTGCCGTCAGGGACTGCAGGACCCGCGACAGCACCCTTTCCATCACCCTCAAGCGAAGCTATTGTCCGACTGTCGCGAGCCGTAGAGTGGACAGATTGAGAGTCAGGAGGACGAAAGTCAGGCATAGCCAATATCAGAGAGCTCGACGACGAGGCTCCGAATACCGCCTCGCTGCCGGTATATGTAGTCATTGAACGCGGGCCGTGAATAGCGTCTTTCCTGGAGCCAGTAGCTTCAGAACGTCAGCCCTCGATCAAACAGGACTAACTTTACACGAGCGCATCCCGGTCATCGAGATTCTACACGCCTGTACCACAGCCTGGCCAAACGGAGATGTCTGCCGTTCAATTGCATGCAAGTCGACAATGACATAACGAGGATGACAAGGACTGTCATAGTTCTCATGCAACACAGGGTCCTACGTATAAAGTTGCGTTCGGCACGCGCTCGTCGGATCGCACGGCGCAAGACGCCCTCTGGCTCTGTGGTGGTCGAAGGCGAAGGCAACCGGAGGCGGGATGCCGACGCCGTCGAGTTCGCAATCGTGAGAAAAGGATGCGGCGACGGCTCCGAGTCATGATGCGATCTCCGACGCGATGAGCAGCTTGACCCGAACCACGACCAGCAGACACCCCGTCTGCTCTCGCTCGCCCGGCACACCCCAGCCCCATTTTTATGCGCAAAAGCCTCACTCAGAACTCCCAGAAAGAAATCGAATCTCAAACCGCGCAATCTACTTCTCATAATTCTGCCCAACATGGCTCTTCATCTCAACCCTGCTATCTGCTCGACCTTCCAGCCGAGTCACTCACGCACATCACCGCGTATCTGGACCCGCAAGCTCTCTTCAATTTTGGCCGCACGAACAAGAAGTTCTCTGAACACATAAAAGACGATAACATCTGGCATCGCGCCTTCGTCTGCCAGTTTCTGGGTGTTGCACCAGAAACAGACCTGGTCGGTCAAAACAGCCTAGTTCTTCGGCGCTCGGAATCATCCTGGAAGCGCGAGTTTGTGCTTCGTTTTAATACGCGCAGGTGAGACTGTCTTATCTGGCAGTATCGAGACCTCGCTCAATTTGGTTATCTCAGGCGTTGGATGCGCTCGCGTACGTCAACGATAACGCATAGTCCGCATCATGCGCTTGTTTCCTCGCTGCACATGCTTTCGGACGATGCTCTGCTTTCAAGCTCGCTTCAATACGGCGTAGTGGCGCGATCGTTGCCGTTCACTGGGCGTGTGATCAAGGGCTTCCTCAACGCATCAGGCCTACACCATGGCCTAGCAAATGGCAACCCAAACGCAGACTTCATTCCCGATGTCTCTGCGTGCGCCGTCAGTTCGGAAGGCGCCAGCGCTCGGATTGCGTGGGGTCGTCGCGACGGCGCATTCGGTATCATGTGGCACCCTCACACCATGGCGGGTAGTCGCGCTGCCGCGAACATTAGCATGAGTCGCCCAGAAGAGGGACACCGTGGAGCAGTCAATGAAGCTATCTTCATACGAGGCGGCGAAGCCTGTGTCACCGTGGGCGCAGATGGCACCGCGAAGGTCTGGAGCACCCGCCGGTTCGCTTGCGTGTGGACTTCGCCGCGTCCTGAACTTCTGCCCGAGCCATACGTCAAAGTGCTCGAGGATCTTGCCCGCGGCGTCCTTGTTTGCGCGACGGAGAAGGGTTCTATCGTTATCTATTCCGGACTTCCGCTGGCGAGCCTTCTGGGACCGGATCGTACGCAGTTCTCTGCCGAGGACCTACGCACCTATCGCGTCAACGCACCCGCAACCGATGGCAGCGAAGTTGCTCAAATGTTCGCCGACCTCAATAGTCCGGCCGACCACACCGTGCTAGTTGTGCGTCACGAGGGTCGAGTGACGTTCGACCGTGTAGATGTCAATACTGTGACGGGCGCCATTACGACATCCACTTTCGGCGACGCTGCCGCCGGAGTGGTCAGCGTAATTCTACCTGATTTCGCTGCCGGTTCAACCAACGAACACTCGTACATCATCGCGGGTGATACATTGGGCGGCGTTTCTATCTACCCTTGGGATTCGCCAACAAAACTAATCAACGATCAACCAATATCGCCTAGTCGCCGCGTCGATGTGTTCCCCGATGCGACGGTGAAAGCCCTTGCCACCACATCCTTGGTCATCGCCGCGGGCTCTTCGCGTGGCGACGTGCGGGTGCTCGATGTGCTCACGTTGGAGTTTCTCAGGACATTCACCGTTGCATCGGAGATACCAGTTCGGAACATAGTGCTTCGCCGCGAACTTCTTATTGCCAGTGCCGGAGTGCACGTCATGGCATGGAAAGCGGGACCTGTTGGCAAAGACGGCAGAGCGGCTAAGGGAAAGAAGAAGATTAAGGCCAAGGAAATGCATCAAGATCGGAAATGGCAGAGTAAGTGTATGCTATACGGGATCCACTCCTCTTGTACTCATACCCGCGACAGAACAGATCCAGTTCAAGCATGACATCGCGGAGTTCCGCGGCGACCTAGAGCTTGAAGGGACGTCGGCTCGCGCCGCCCGCGGACGGGAGCGCGAGCAGGCGGAGCATCTGGGTGGTCTCGGTCTAAGCGAACGCGAAGCAGTGGAATATGTGCTCATGCTGTCGCGCGAGGAGGCATTTGCGCGTGACGCAGGCCAAGGGGAGGAAGGTGTATTCGAACTGGACGATGGAGCATCGTCGACACCCTCGTCGGGCAGCACAGGCTCTCGCTCGCGAACATCTTCCTTCCTGTCACCGTCGCCTCCGTTCCGTGCGACCGCCAATCGACTCCCATCGACCCCGCCGCACCGTCCGATCGCAGAGCCTAGCTCTTTGAATCACAAAGTCCAAGTGTCGCCGCGCTTCATGCCAGAACCTTCGGAGGCGGGCGGGCTTCCTGGCAGCCTCGAGTTGCCAGCTCCTATTGAGATGCGGCGCGCACCTCCTTCGGAAGACGCGTTCCCCGATATGACACCGAGCAGTCACGGTAGTACGACACCCGCCCTGCGCGGCGCTGTGACGCCTCCTCGCGCGTCCGTGTGGAATCCGCGCCCTAGCGCCAGCGCCTCGCCTCGTGGCGCTTGGATGACACCGCTTCGCACTCCCCCCTCGACGTCCCCGCCTGTTTCGCGTCTTGCAAGCGTCGCTGGATCCTCATTAGTGACTCGCTTGCCTAGTGCTGCGTCGTCTTCAAGTGCTGCACAGCCATCTGTCGCGCGCTCGCCGCCCTTCCGCAATATGGCCATGTCAGAGTCTGCGAGAGAGCAGGAAGAGAAGTGGGCGCAGGAAGCCGCCGCTATCGCGACCATAGAGGACGAGGAGCTCCGCTATGCGCTTGAGCTCAGTTTAGCCGAGGCCAGGAGTCAGGCGCCGTGAAGCTTCTGGTAGAGATGGGCATAGGACCCTGCCTGTTATAGATGATTATGGTATATGGTCTCCCGTATGTGTTTTAGTTCGTCAGTACATGATGATCCATGGTTCTATGGTTATGCTCTGTGCATGTACCGTGTCCATGCGGTCCCACAGCCTCACTGGCCAGTCACTGGGGCTGTTGATGTTGACGCAGACGGAGTTAACCCTGGCGATTGCATGCAAGCCGCTGCGAGCGCAGATCGTCGCAAGGTCGAATGGTGACACAATTGGATACCGAGTACTCATGCATGTGGTAGACTTGTTATGTCTTTAACGAAGGTAGCAAGACTTGCTGGTCTCGTTTCCAGACGTTCGAGATCTGGTTCTGCAGGCTGAGTTTGCATCATGATCTGGGATTCCGAAGCTCATACATGACATATCCCGCTTAGCTCAGTTGGTAGAGCGCGTCACTAGTAATGACGAGGTCAGTCGTTCAAGTCGGCTAGTGGGAAGTAAGCACGTCTCGTAAAAGATTTTTTTCTCACATTCTATTGCGTTTACTATATGAAAAGCATACCAAGAAAGATTTTACACGCAAGAAATGGATTCAAGTTCAAACAGCCCACACGAGACGCGTTTCGAGTAATGTCGACCACTATGACTGCCATAAATTCCCGAGAGCAGGCTGTGAATTCATGGAGACGCGTCTGAAATAGGTAGATTGCCAGTCGTCATCCACGGTAACTAGAGTACATGCGGAACATTATTGTATTGTCAGATGCTGGAATTCAAAGCTGGGACTCGGAGGATCGGTGTACAGCGCTGCTGAACACTATGCAGCAGGCCCGAGCGTCGGGGCGTTGCCGAGGAACTCGTAGAAGTCCTCCGTTGGAGGTGTACCCTTGAACTGCTTGACAAGCTTCTCGTCTGCGATGAAGGTCAGTACGATGAATGACGATTCGGAGACGATACTCACAGATCGGATCCGAGTCTATGTGCTTGAAGTGCTTCAACTCCCATTTGCTACCCGCCGCCGTCTCGTCGCGCCTACGCTGACGCTGGTCGTTCTCGATCTTGCTCTTCTCCCGAGAAGCAGTGTCGAAGTCGCCATCACGAATGCCCTTCGCGACGGCGCGCCACAGCTTACGGGACTCCCAGTCGTTCTGCGAGTCGAGCGGCGCAACAATGACCTCCTCCTTGGGCTGCGTAGAGATGTCGTGGAAGCCCTGGCCGGTGCTGAACTTGGACGAGGTGTGCCAGAGACCGTCGATGGTGTGCGTTGCGGACCATGCGCCAGACTTCGCTACGGAGGCCTTGAACTGATGAGTCTTGCCGGAGAAGTAGCCACGGCCCTTGTACTCAATCTGCACGTGTCAAACCCGTTAGACAATGCACGTGCGTAGTAAAAGCGTAGACGCACCGTGGACGTCCAACCGGTCGAGCTCTGGATGTACGACGTGTCGGTAAGCTCGATGTACGGGCTTCCGTACCAGATACCGTCGATCCGTAGCCTCGGCAGCGTGATGAGGTACTTCTCCTCCTTGCCTCCAGGAAGCGCGACGGTCAAAACCGCGTGGCCGATCTGCTTGACAATGATGCTACCCGCTGGGGTGCCGTATGAGTATGAGCCTCCTGTAAAGAGTGTTCAGTGCGTACCAGAAAAGCTCGTTTTCTGCGCACTGTGACCGGTTAGGGTTAGCCCTTTGGTCTTGTTTACGATGTGGTAAGCCGTGATGGGCGGGTGGTGGGATACTTGCTCGACGACGAGGTCGGTTTGACCGCGGCCGTCTTTGTCTGGCCAGTAGCCGTAGAATAGCTCGCCGAGGACGGGATTCAAGGGCCTGAGAGTATAGTCGTCAGTATGTGCCGATGACAGGTTACGACATGACGACGAAAAGGGGAAGCCGGATTGCCATGTGGATGCAGACGCAACCGAATATGTGAGTTCCCTGATCCTGGACTAGAGACGCGAACCGCAGCCTACGTGATCGTATCTCTGACGGTGCGCCCAGCTATACATATGGCACAACCCGTGTACCCCGATCCCACACGCGCATGCGCGGTCCACCGCCACAGTTTGCGCATCCCAAATATACACAATAACCGGAATTATAGAGAAATCACGTACTTCTTCTCAGAGCCCATGCTCTCATTACGACTCGTATATTGGTCCTTGAGCGTGCCGATGAACCACTTGAGCACAGCGAGCGAACGTTCCTCGGGTCCGGGTGCATCTGCAATGGCGGAGAATAATTCTGGCCGCTCGCACCAGTACGCCGGGAACTCTGTGAGCGAGATGGGCGACAGGATAAATGGCGGCGCTGTTAAAGACGAGAGATCCCCTGAGAAGGACGCGATCCTATACAGGTCATCAGTGGAGCTTTAGGGAGCCTAATTGTAAAACGTACGCCTTGATGAAGGCCGTCCAGGATCCCTTCTGGCCAGCGGGTACACCGGCACCAGCCTAAGATGGTAGCCTCAGCTGAAGCGTTCCTACAGCACATAGGGCACGTACGTCCTCGGGCGTTGGAGGGATACTAGGAGTAGGGGTCTTGTCACCGGACATAGTGGTAGTCAAGAAGCAAGAGTGGTTGGGGCTGGATGGATCGTAGTGCAGACAGTGGCGCGTACAGGCCTTAGGTATGATATATGTTGGGACGAATTAGGGGAGCAGCCTTAGCGGGAGATGATGGTAAGAGCAGAGAACGGGAGCGGGCTATGATCTCAACCGCGTGCGTTCATCGCGACACTTGCACCGGGACAGCCACCTCCTCTTCAATCCCACCGGTCACCGTATACGTCGCGCTCTCCACGTATTCCTTGCTACCTCCTTAACAGAGTTTTGCGCGTGTTGCCTTCTTGCCGGTACATGCATTGGACCACGGTCCGACTTCAAGTTCATCCGGGCTTCCTGTGCTCACGGAGCCGCCGGCATTTCAACGTGTTTCAAAACAGCTCGGGGCCTGACAATGACACGACGCACCCTGTGTCTCCAATCTTACGGGTTCCGGGACTCTACGGTCTGGATTTGGCATTATGAGCCCACTCTACTCTCTCCTGATACGTACTGCATCGCGCATCCCGACCGACTGCGACTATGAGCGGCAAGCGCCCGTATGATGCAATCGATTGATCAAGCGCCCATCGAAACGATTATCTGACACGGTGCCACATCTCGCTATCTCATCGTATGTCTGTCCGCCCTGACCTTGGAGCAAGCAGTCTTCAAGCTTTCAAGTCGTTGGCATTATAACAGGCACGAAGAGGCTTCCAGCTAAGCGTCACTCAGGGAAAGGAGTGCGTGAAAAGTCCCGTACATGAGTGAGGTACTTCATGATTAACAACAGCTCTTCTGCCTCAAAAGCAAACATTACCGCCTTTTCCGTCGGAGAATGACCGCCTTCGCTGGCCCACGAGAGGCTTCCGGGGGACCATTGCTCGTTCACTCTCGAGTGTCTTCCCAACCATTGCCTTTTCACGATCAACGGTGCAGGACCGTGACCACCTCCCCGGCGCTCGTCCTCACGAAGTATGCGGGATTCACTATTCTCCGCGGCGCTCATCGGCTGCTGACGAACATGCTCGATACATGTTCCGCGGGAAACCAAGGATGCAATACTCATCAGGCAGTGGTGGGTATCGTTGTAAAGGTCTGTCATTCCCATTCACTCTACAGCACAGTAGCAATGAAATACGATGACAGGAGCCAACCGTGGGAATGGCTGATCCAGCGATGACTTCGGACGGGTATCTCAGACAACAGCAATTCGTACAGTCGTGCAGGCATCGGAATTCGTAACCAAATGTCCCATCGGTATATAATCCGGATCTGCACTCGTTAACCGTGCCGAGGGAACGGTATGGGCACAGCTGTAAAGTCCCGGGCGTCGCTCAGACATCCCATGGCGTCTAACAGCTCCTGAACCGTCATAGTGGAGACTAATACCCCGTCCGTAGTCGAATTCCCGTCTTTGCTCATCCACATGAGCTTGCCGGAGAACCGCCCCGGCCCCCCAGCTACAGGTCCATCGTCTACCCATTGCGACTTGGCGGTCTGAAACACGGTCTGGGGCGTAATATCATTCGCTCCATTGGCGTGCAAAGCATCGTGAAGCCCGTGTAATGCAAGACTCCTCGCGGCGTGTCTCGCAGCCCAACGTACCTGTTCTTCAGGGGATGGCGAGGACAATAAGGAGGCCACGACGGTGTTGTCAAAATGATTCTGCACAAACGTCAGGACAAAGATATAACTCGTAACCAAGCTGAATGCTCACCTGGCTGTGCATATTTTGCACATACCTTTGCGCGACGTAAGGGTTATCGAACCCTCGAGGATGGAGCATGAAATTAAACCGTACGTGCAGATCGGCAACGCCCCTTCGGTTGCCAACGCTCAACGCCACCCCTACGATGCGACCACTCCTGTCACGGTTAGAAATGATGCGGACGGAGGGACTCTCTTGATGTGGGAACTGTCGCATCTCCATGTTGCTCATTGCCGCACAGAGCTGATATGCGATGTAAGCCGTCTAGTCAGACGGGATAAAGTGTCATGCTTACTCTGCGGCAGACGCCAGATTCCGGATGCATAATCGCCAGCACACCGATTCTAGAGAAGGTAACATACATGACCAGGAGCTGCATGAGGTACTCGATGATGTCGGCTATTGTGAGTATCATGAGCATATGTGTCGATGACGCCAGCTGACCGCACACCCGAGGATTCTGATGTGCTTTCCCTTGGGATTGCAGCGCGACGGGTATTCCGACCGTTAAGGATCCAGGCGCGTGCACGCTCATGGTCTTGACGAGACAGTACGCATTCGAGGATCGTCTTGCAGAGAATCAACTCTGGCTGCTGGGGATAGCTGTCGGTCATGTTGGATGGTGCGCAGATTGCGGGGAATAGAGAACCTAGACGAGCCACGGGCTGCGTGCTACTTATACACTCGTTGCAACACCACATAGCCTGCGTGGCTGTGGTGTATCGTGGTCCGTGAGGTTCGCAATGGTCCTCTGGACCAATAAGCCCGCGCGTGCAATGACTTTGTTTTGGTTCTCCTAGGCAATAGTCCATTCTTTTATTTGGGCCATGCCTCGCCCGTGGGCCGCTATCTCGCTCGGTCTCGATGTGCGATCTTACTGGGTATTACCTTTGTGGAACTCTCCAATGGGCTCAGAGGGATTCTAGACTACTACGGCGCGCTTCTGCGGGCGGGCGCGTATGCGGAGGCGGCGGAGGCCGTCGTCGTTGCCTCCCTTCGATGCAGCGGTTAGCCCTGCGACTCACTTACACCCCGAGCGCGAGCAAGCGACGGCTTCGAGACAGTGGCCCAACACTGATTCGGGCCGACTGCGCGAGCCCGCCGCGTGAAAGAAATATGGACCATGGACATGAGGGGACCAAGGTCGTGTCCAAGCAAATCAAGGTTCGGTTCCTTTTATTGTTGGGGAAACTTAGTTCTGACGCGGTCCGCTCCGTCATATGCAGGGCGTTTTCGTACTGCATTCAATAAATGAGTACATTCGTTTCGACTGGCCGCGCCCGCCGCCGCCGTCCAGTGTGGACATCGGCAAACTCCGAACGCGTCATAAGCAGAGCGTCATCAAGCGCCTATACATCGAGTCACGAGCCGTATTCCTCCAGTCTGACTCCCACCGGGTATTCTTATTTAATGTTAGACTGTCTCGCTTGGTTCGGTTCGTCTCTTACCGTCATGCCGTCTATACCCCATCTCATGACCCTCGCGGACCTCAGTCCGAAACAGATCAACCGTCTCGTCAACCACGCCCACCAGATCAAAATCGCCTGTCGTCCTTATGTGGCACCACGGTCATCCAAAAGCGCGCCCCTTCCCCCGCGCACAACATACCGTTCTCTAGCCGACAAGAGCGTTGCCCTCTTGTTCTCAAAACGCAGCACCCGCACGCGACTCGCGACGGAGACGGCCGCGACTATGCTGGGAGGTAAGGCGCTCTTCCTAGGGAGGGAAGACATCCAGCTAGGTGTCAACGAAACAGTGCGCGACTCTGCGCGAATCATTGGCGGGATGTGTGAGGGTATTGTCGCGCGAGTCGGTGATCACTCTGAGATAGAGGTACTGTCGCCCATCAAGATTGCTCATCGAATGCATGTTGATGTCCGTGAATAGGAACTAGCCAAGCATTCGCCCGTGCCCGTGATGAACGCCTTATCCTCACTATGGCACCCAACCCAGACTCTAGCGAACTTGCTCACCCTCCATGAGCACGCGCACCTATTCGACAAGTCACTAGCGCCGCCTTCTCAAGCACCGTCTGAGAGCCTCCCGCCGCTCCCGCCGTTGACCATTGCCTACGTCGGCGATTCCGCGAATGTGCTACACGACATGTTAGTCACGTACCCTCGACTAGGTCACAAGATGCGCATTGCATCACCCGACAAGCCTCAGTACCGTGCGCCGGCAGCGGTCTGGGATCGTGTAAGGCAGTTGAAGTGCGACAAGGACATCTGGTGGGGCGTTGATCCGCGCGAAGCCGTCAAGGGCGCGGACATCGTCGTCAGCGACACGTGGATCTCTATGGGTCAAGAAGCCGAATACGCGCAGCGAGTGGCCGACTTCGCTGGGTATCAAGTCACGGAGGCGTTGTGTGCCGAGGGTGGCGCTAACCCGGAGTGGAAGTTCATGCATTGCTTGCCGCGCAAGCCGCATGAGGTTGACGATGAGGTCTTCTACGGCCCTCGTTCGCTAGCTTTTCAAGAAGCGGATAATCGCCGATGGACCACCATGGCTGTCTTTGAGTAAGTGCAGTATCGTATCTTTCCATCGCAACCGCCGCTCATCGCGTTCTTTCTTGACTCGTAGCCTCTTGTTCGGGCAATGGGAAATCTAGTAACCATCTAGCGTGCATCAAACCGCGAGAATTGCGAGGGTTATCCCGTCGGATCGAGCACTGATGCTAAACATATATCTCTATCGGTACTACATTCAAACTACCATCATGTCAAGGAACATTACATGTTTCCAGTACATACAATGTGCATGGTCGTTCAAGAATTACGTTTCCGTATCAGGCGGTAGCCACACAATCTCTGCCGCCACTGCGGAAATGTCCTCCTTCAAGCGCAGCCTTGCCTCCTTGCTTATGGACATCCAAAAGGAGGGATGAAAGACGACTTGTCGTATGCCCACGTTTCGCATAGTGCGACATTCGAGGCCGTCGACGAAGTTCTGCCACGGTCCCTCAGGAGGAAGCAAGTGATCGCCACCTGTCCGGATGTTGGGATCAACGCCAAACCCTGTGGTCTTGTACACTCGAGGCTCCTGCTCTTCCCCCGGCTCGCCTCTTTGATAACCAAAGCGCTCGTACAGGCGCTCGTCGCCCTGCAGGAACTGCTCTAGGTCTTCTGAACCCGAGTCACTCTCCATCACTGGTACGGAGTCTGAATCCGACGAGTCCCGACGGCGTGGGACTGGCTCCGCGAGATCATCGGAGGCTGAGAATTCACCATCTCGCCCATTTGGGAGTGACTTTCTTCTGAGGGTAATGTAGACGACATGCAGTCGAGGAAGAAGGTGTCCCTCAGAAGTAGGCGAGTCTCCAAGACAGATGGCATCCCACAGCGCCTTTGAAGGTGGGAACTCATCAAGTACCAATGTATGCACAGTATCAAGATGACGCAGGCCTTCATGCCAATGTGCCGTAGAGTATCGTCCCGATTTGAACAGCTCGAGTGTGATCGGCTGTGAAAACGTGATCTGTTCACCGATCTGATTGAGGCAAGCGAGAGGAGCGGCCGACGCCAGGTTTAAGAGACCGTCCATGTCGTCCATGCGGATATCGAGAAGGACGACGTGATCTCGGTGCATAGGTCCTTTGACTTTACGCAGGACTGCGCCCGTTTCAGGGGAGAATAGCAGGATACGTAGAGTGGGGCTGCACTCTAGATGAATACCGTTGATGCGCGGAGCGCCGGGTGGATCGAAATGGTGTGCAATGGCACCTGCAAACCCGATTCTGCGTCGCATAACTGTCTCGTCTATGTTGACCGCGTACACCCAGCCATCGTAGTCCATGCCCGGGATGTACACCGCTACGCGCGTATGCTTTGATATGATGAGGACGCTCCAGAAGTCCACACAGAAGTCGAATATGGCGTCCAAGTGCAGATCCTCGAGGCGTGGAAGGATTAGACGGGCTGTAGTAGTGACCTCTGTGAAAAGAGACCCACTGATAGTGAGCCTACGCAAGTTCGCTGCTAACCCAACAGCTTTGAGTAGGATGCCGGTGTCGAATCGCTCGTCTGTTTCATCTTCCTCTTCGTCCGATGAGTCCGCGTATAACTGAAAGCGCATATTAAGTGACTCGAGGATAGTGTAGTCACAAGAAACCACGCAGTTATGCATCGTCAGGTTGCGAAGAACGGGCGCTCGCGGTAAAGAGACCTGCAAGGTGGGTTTACGATCACTCGTCGACACGAGCTTGGCGTTCCTCAAGCACACGAAGTCGTTGCTTTCTAAGATGGGCAGCGACTTCTCGAGTATGTCCGGAGGAAGGGTTATCGCATGCGCTCGATGAAGATTCTCTATCACCGTTTGAAGGAAAGACGCGGAGAGCCGATGTCGTTCATGCATCGAGTTGCTAGAGATACCATAGTAGGGAAGCGACCAGTTATGCAGATCAATAGCCAGAGGGGAAGCTTGTGCTCGCTCCAAACGCTCATTCACCCCTTTGAGGAGTTGAAATGCGGCCGTTGCCCATAGGGCAGTCATTGTGAGGAGGATCTGACGTAGTGTTGAACCAACGTGTCCTAGTCTTATCCATCCCAGATACCCTGCGTCGGGAGGCTCAGAGACTGCACACGCTGCCAAGACCTTGCATATGATTTCCACAGGGAGGGACAGTAGAGGAAATGCTCTGTCAAGAAGAAGTCCATGAGTGACGGCGCTCACGATGTACGTCAAAGACGCGTACAGAAGATGGCCTCGTTGGTTGTGTTGTGCGGGATCCATCATGGGCTATGACTGATGCAAATACAATCTTTCTACGCGGCAGATCGGTGCTTGGGGTGAGGGGAGTTGAGACGATGATGGTCAAAGGCAGGATGTTCAGACTGGGTTGCTCTTAGGGCTGAATCCATCTCATCAAATGCAGGCTCGGCTCTCGGCCCGGTAAGAGAAGGACTGTGCATCGGGCCACCGGCGCCGTGGCGGTCACCGGTCATTGCTCAGTGATAAAGTGAATTAAACGGGAAGGACAGCTGCGACGAAATACTGACCCGCTCTACTCTTTTCGAAAGCGGGGTATGGCGGTCCAAACGTGTCAAAAATCGGATTAGATTTAGGACGCGGTTTTGAATTACCATTAAAGAATAATCACGGCGAGCTCGCCTTCCCCGGGCCTCCCCCGCTCCCTCCCGCCCGTCCCGCCCATCCCTT